TATGTCATCTTCTTCTTTTAACTCATACAGTCTTTTCACTAAACCCAGTTTCACACATGCATCCCCTCCTAGGATTGTACTAACATCTTCCTGTGTGATTTCAAACAATCTCATTTTCGTTCCATTTGTACTCACAGGTAAGCGCTTTCTTGCCCAACGCTGTCACCTTGTGGCCGAAAAAGGAAACTAGCTTTGTCTTACTAGCTCAACATTTTCCTTTCAGTCCAAGGGCTTTTAATGTTTTGAGTGACATTGCATTGCAGTCCGCTCCGGTGTCCAGCTTACAGATAAGTTCTTTGTCTTTTATTTTTAATCTTTCAGTCCATGCATCTGCCATTTTATCCGACCTGACCTCTGTAATGTTTTTTCCTTCTGTTTGGAGCATGCCGAGAAACATCTCAGTTTCACTTTCACTTTGATTGACAGCATGCACCTTCTTCCCGTGCTGCCTCCTCTGATCAGTGGATCTGCACATCCTTGCAAAATGATTCTTTTTACTGCACACTCTGCAGGTTTGACCTATTGCTGGGCTGTTTTTTCCATGTTTCCACCCACATCTGTTACAACTTGTCTCGTTCAGATCAGGTTTCCTTGTTTTCGCTGCACTTTTTACATCATTCGGTCTTGCTGTTCTCAGTTTTTTGACTTCTTCTTCAGTAAGAGCTTTCACTTGACTGGTTGTGATCTCACTCGCCCAACATACATCTATAGCTTTATCCAATGTGAAATCAGCTTCTCTCAGAAGCCTTCCTCCCACTTGATCATTGATTATGCCGCAGACTATTCTGTCCCGTATCAAAGAGTCGTGTAGATCACCAAACTCAGTCTTTAGCTTTATTTTTTAGTTCCGTTACATATGCATCGATGCTTTCAGCTTGTTTCTGTGCTCTCGTGAAAAACATGTGCCTGATGTATGGTAAATTTTTCCTTGGCTCGCAGTAGTCCTGAAACTTCTTCTTTAGCACAGCGATTTTATCTTTTTCCTCTTCAGAGAAATGAAAAGTATTACATACTTTTATGGCTTCTTCCTCGGCCACGTGTAGGAATGTTGCGCATTGCACCTTTTCCCCCGTCTCCGCTATGCCGCCGGCGGTGCAGAACAGCTCGAAGCGTTGCAGCCAGGTTCTCCAATTCTCCGCAAGGTAACCTTGCAAACTGAGGTTCTGTGGAGGCTGAAACTGTGCCATTTTCTTTCCGTTTATTCTTCTGACACCATGTTGTATTAATGAATCAGGACCACAAGTTGTTTAAGTGAATCAACTTTATTTCTTGCTCCTAGCCTCACATGTTACAGTCATCTTGAACACCATTCTCTTATGCTCCACCCCCCAGCTACGGGTGCCCGCATATACAAATCTCAATACATCACACTGAGGAAGTTTACAGCCACGAAAGAAACTGTCAGCAAGGTTAAAAAAAACCTTTTCTGTGTTTTAAAAAGAACCAAAAATGCAACGTCATACTGAAACAAGTCACTTTAGTGTTAACCCTCTCAGGCTCAAAATAAGTCATGATTAAAGGACGAACAACTAAGTCCTTCAGGGGGACTTTTGAGTTAAAACTGCTCATGAAGTACGTATGTGGAGTAACCAGGTAGGTAGGTTTTTACGTTGCTAATCTGCAACGCCTGCCTCCAGAGGGTTAAACAAACTATTAAATCTGAAATCAGCTTTAGTCTTCAGTTTGTTCTCAATGTGCATGGCATAACGGATGGTGGCCCTCGGTAGTTTAGAAACTCTGGATACGGCCCTGCTACTGTCTCATCATCAGAAGCGCACGCGAAGCACCGCAGCTAGAGAGGAAGAAGAAGAAGAAGAGAATATCATTTCTATAGCGCCTCTCAAGATAAAAATCACGAGGCGCTTCACAAAAACAAAAAATATAAAAATTGTAAAAATATAAAAAAAAGCATTTTGAAAATGTTTAAAATATATTTAAAATGAGCAAGAATAAGCTATTGCGAATTAAAAGAAAAATGTTAATTAAAAGAGAGAGAGTGAATAGGAAAGAGGGAAATCAGTGGATCCTGAGGAAGGTGGAATAAGAAGCCTGTGGCTTTTCAAAATAAGGTAAAAAATTTAATGTTTCATGATATTTTAATTATTTCAAACTACGATTATGGTTAGCATAAGTGCGCAAATACAGGCTATATGTGTCACTTCTTACATTGTTGTACAGTAGTGTAACGGGTTACGATTTGTTGTGGTTGGACTTTTATGTTGAAGGGCTGTTCTTGGCCGGCTGTGTGCAGAGTTCCGGTTCGGTTGTTTAGAAGGAAACGAGCTAGTGTGATCGGAGATCGTTAACGGTGTTTCTGCTGGAGTTAAGACGTGGGCTGCGGCCAACAGTAACCCGGAATAAAGATCCGAAACGGAAACAACAAGTTGGAGTCATTAGCATCTCTTAGAAAAGGCAACAAAAGTGTGTTTTATAGGTGTGGTGGCTTTTGTTGAGCCGTGGCGGTGCGACACGAACTAGTTTAGCCCAGCAGAAAGGCCCCGCGGCTGGCTGGACCCAGCTCGACACAGCAGCAGAGCGGTAAGCTTCATATCACTCTAAAATGTCGGCTAACTTTACTGTACACGTTCATTTACGGGCATTAGCAGCGTGCTAGCATTAGCATCCCACCTGCTAACGCTAGCACAACATGTTAGTAAAGCTAGCACCCAGATTAATGTGGATTCTGGGGCTGTCGCGGTTGAGGAATTCCCCCTGCGGTGAGTCAGGGCAGCTCAATATTGCGATATTATTGCACCCCGTTTTTATTTATGTACTTAGCAAATTTGTTTGTTGATTACTAAACTCATGTCAATATTTCCTTTGAATCATTGTGCTTACACATTTAAAAAAATGTTAGAAAAAATACACGGCCGTTTTTAACACTTTATTGAATGCAGATCGAAGTAACGGCATTCTCTGACTGAACTTAAAAACAACATTCAGGAGGTTTAACTTTGAAATGCAAATTTGGCTGCAACATCTAGCAGAAATAAAAAAAAGTGCCCGTTTTGTTTTGCTGTTTAAAATAAAGTATACAGAATGAGATGTCCCGGGCACGGGCACTGTCACTTTCACACACACAAATAACTGACTTATAACTCGGTCATGTCCTTGTTACGCGCAAGGAAAACCAGCATGCTAACCTTATGCGGTTTGAGAGAGGATCTGAGAGGGGTGACAACATTTCCAGCGACACTAAAAACCCTCTCGGATGGTGCGCTCGTTGCACAAATACACACGTACTTGCGTGCGACTTTGGAGAGCAATGGAAATCTCTCATGGTTGTTGCGCCACCAGGTCAGAGGGTTTTCATTAGGGTCAATGGGTTCCTCCTGCAGGTAGCGAGTGAGCTCCAGCTCGGCTCTGACTCTCTTGGGGACGGTTACAGTAGACGTCCTTGTCCGTGACTTCAGCAGGTCTCCAAGCGTTTTTTTCTTTGCCGCTGGTGGCAGCACTGCCTGCTCCAAGGCCTCTGGCTGGGCTGCAGCTGACATACCGGCACCGCTCCCTCCATCTTCCATGTGTACTATCTCCTCGATCAGCGCGGGCTTTACCTCTCAGCATGCGCTGTCTCGAGATTTAATCAAGTGCTGTAATGGCGGTGGCACGTCATGCAGCGCAGTGGGTTTCTTAATATCGCGATATTTTCTTCTTGCGGTTACCGCGACAGCCCTGGTGGATTCGGACGATTTTCGTGGAATAAAACGTGATCTGGGAATTGTGATGAACGCCTTTTTACTAGGGATGCACCGATCAGGTTTTTTGCTGCCGATCACCAATACCGATATCAAAGAATGCTGATCACCGATACCGATCACCGATACCGATCACGTGGATTGGCCAGAAATTTTCTACAACATTATAATGAGTGCTACAAACTACATAATCTGGGAATAAAGGAAATGTAACCTAATCTAAAATGGTCTGTATTAGGGTTGTCACGGTGTGAAAATTTAACCTCCCTGTTATTGTGACCAAAATTACCACGGTTTTCGGTTTTATCGCTGTATTTTTTTTTAAACGTGCTACATTTTCACACAATTAAACAAACCCTGTATGTCAGGAAATATTGTCCTCAGTTTGTGTCTAAATTTTGCCTAAAATGTGTTATTTTGTAATTATGTTGTTTATTTGTTTACATTTTTCCCCTTTAGCCTTTAAAATATCAATATTTGCCCATAATTTCTTATTTTATGTCTGTTTGATGTCATCATTTTAAAAATATTAGATCAGATGATACTCAGTACTCAAGTAGCCTTCTAATCAGATACTTTTTTACCCTTACTTGAGTAATAAACCCTATATCAGGAAAATATTGTCCTCGGTTTGTGTCCTTCCAGTGAGCTTTGCAGACGTGGGAAAATGTCATCAGGCAGTAATCATTGTTAAATTCTTAATTATTCTCGGAGAGAGACCAACTCTTATCTGCCCCTGGGAGCCCCGTAATGCATAGCGTCATTTCAACATGGCGGTGTCCGCGACACGGTTTATATGCAGGTAGCGGCGCTGCGGCTGCTTTCTATAGCGACTCGTTGCATTCTCCCTCAACCCAAATCCTCGGATCACGCATTTGAGCTAAAACGCTAACGTTAGCTTGTCTTGCGTTCACTGTAGAGTTGTGGGTGATGGCCACGCAGATGTGTCATGAGTAGGGTTGCCAACTCCCTGAAAAATAAATAAGGGACACCTCGCGGGCAGGGCCGGCCGCTCCAGGCCACCCTTCCCAGCGTGGTGATTTTTTGCTCTTTTTTTGTGTGTGGGTGTGAAAGGATTTTTTTTTTTACTATTTGACTTGAAGTTGGTTTAAGAAGATGCATATTCTTTGTGATATGAAAACATGGGAAACAAATGATCATTTAGCCATTTATTTATGGCGTGAAATTACAAAATTATTATAAGTAACAAAGGTCTTTTTCTTAAACAGAAAACTGTTATGCTCAACTTTTTGTGCAAAATGACAAAAAAAAGTAGGTCTCTTTCTTAAACGGTAGCCTGTTATGCTTTACTTTTTAGAATATAAATAGCTCTCTTTAAAACAACTCTGTTCTGCTTAACTTAAAATTGTATAAATTAATAGAAAACAACAGAAAGAGCAACGCTGTAAGTGCACATTTAGTGCAATTAGAAAAGTGCAAACAGAAAGTCTGTGGAGAAGCTGTAAACATATTTGTGCCTCAAAGGCCTTGACTGTAGCCTACGGTTGAAGTAAAAAAAAAAGTCCAAACTCATGAACTCAAAAGCTCAATGCTACATTATGTGAAAACAGACTATTTTCTCCATTTGTATTTCTTTTGAGATCTTGCTTCATTTAGGAGTTGTCTTTCAGTACTGCAGAGTAAAACTCTGAGCAAAACATGTCACAATTTAGAGTGACAATGAGCTCACATCTAATTATTTCAGTAGAACATTTGTTCCGCACATCAGTCCACTTATTCTTCATGAGAGAGAAAATCCTCTCTGCAAACCCAGTGGAAGATGGGATGCTGAGTACAAACGATACAACAGGCTGGATGTTGGAGAGGTCAGCTGCCTGAAGAATTTCTATACACTTCTCTGCTGTTCCCTTGGACTGCCACTTTTCCTTCTCCTGAGGTCCTTTGGTGAGGGGCTCCAGAAGGCTGGTTGCAGTGACACACTCGTCATAAAGCTCATCCATAGAGATGTTTAACCTGCCAATGGAGATAAGAAGTAAACCTGGGTTATAAGCACCACATAGAACACTTACAGTGGTAAATAAATGGAAAACATTTATTGTATATTTATTGCATTGTATAGCTTTTATACAATACAATAGTTCACTTTATTTATTATGTATTTATCCATCCTTTTAGTTTAAAATTATCCAAACAACATATAAACCAAGACAAGGCTACATCGAAACTAAACACCCAAGTTAAAAAAAAATAGAAAAACTAATGACAAAACAGAAACAGACAACAAAAATAATAAAAATAATAGTAAACAAGCCCCAACACAGTGGTTTTTTTTCTTCATATAAATACCTTCACTTTAACCAGAGGGTTTAAAAAAGAAATGTTTACTTACCATATCTGCTTCTGCCGTGGCCTTCTGGACGACAAACGGATCGAGGGTTCCCCGTGCTTTCACGTCCTTTATGTTTTTCATGCGGCTACTACTAGACGCATGTTGCTTGAGGTCAGTCAGCCCACCATGCCCTTTGGAAAAACTGCGCCGGTACACGGTGCAGTGCGCTTTATAGGTGTTATCGCGCAGTTTTTCCAGCCAGGAATTTTCCTTTTCCCATTCCTCCCTATATTTTTGAAGCCTTTTTTCTTCTTTCTCGGAGGGATACTGTCGCCCGAGACTTGTACAGCAGTGTCGGCGTTAGTTTCCCTGTTGGCCGTGCTGTTTGCTGTCGTCTGTTTTCTTCCGGTATCTTCTCCCCAAGCGACCGTTCCTCGACCAATGAAATAAGCGGTAATCTGTATCGTCATATTCGTGTATAAGCATGCGGTCAGTTCATTGGTCACAGAGCAGGCGAAGGGCTGGCTTTCAAACAAAGCGTTAATTCCGGTAATAGACTACAGACTAATTTTGATCCATACTATATTACGGGACAAAGTGCGTCCCTTTTGAGTTCAATACGGGACGTGCACTTGTGTTTCTAAATACGGGACGGTTCTGTTTTTCAAGGGACGGTTGGCAACCCTAGTCATGAGATTTGAAGCGTTGCTGCCTTTCACAGACACTTTTTCTGCTCGCGCTGCAAACAGGATAGCCGTCCGTCTTCTATAAACTCCCTCGGCATTCTTCAAATATCTAAAAGATGCCCGTACTTCCGACTTTGTCTTCTTTGAGGGATAATAAATGTCCTCCTGAGCGCTGCCGTCTCCTTTGACCATTATTTCAGCTTTAGCTTCAAGAAAGTTTTGTTGTAAACATCAAAGCGTGCACGTGCCGCCGGCAACTTCAGCCGATGATACGGTGGCTGGTAAGGGTCACCGCGCCTACACCGCAGCCACGGTAAACCCACCAAGATAATATAGTTTTTTTAAAACAAGATGGTTATTATTATTGTCAACTTTTTTTTTACCGGGGTTTACCGCTACACTGGTTACCGTGACAACCCTACCTGATCGGTTTGCTTTGATCTATTTTGAAAATTCCGATCAAAACCGATAGGGGCGCTATCGGCCGATTACGATCAAATGCCGATCCATCGGTGCATCACTACTTTTTACACCAGATGATAACCTTCCACTGACTGTAGCAGCAGAGCGCCTGTGTGTGTTACTCCGTGAGTGTGATGTGATGTTAGCATCCAGTAAAGAAATCCCACATCAGCTAAAGAGCAGCGCGACTAAATGAGGCTGAAGTTAACCTCCGATTCGGGAAACGGCTAAAGGGCCGTTACACACAATTTTTCTCTACTCTGACCTTATTTAATCTCCTCTACCTCAAAAACTACAACACCCACACTATTCAGACCTGTTCTAGAATATTCTACTATAAAATCAGATCAAATTAAACAGTATAGGATTTGTGATCCTTTCCCTGATTTGTAAAACTTCAACAAAGCCTGATTTATGGGGTTTTTCAGCATCTGGCCAACGATGGAACAGCTGTAGCTCAAAAACTACAACAGACACGCTGTTAAACCTGTTCTAGATTATTCTACAATAGCAGATTGCATACAACCCTGTTTTGGATTTGTGAAACTAGGGCTGCACGATATTAGGAAAACCTGCGATATTCGATAACAGTGCTTAATATTGCGATATCGATATTACTCACGATAAATGAACAAATACTAAAGTATGCAGTGTTGATGTCGTCTGGCGTGTGACGTCTGCTCTGGGTTCAAAGCAAACAAAACTAATGCATGAATTCCATTACAACATAACATTTTTATTGCTAAAATATGCAGCTGCACCCGCTACTGTATTAGCAGCTGCACCTGCTACTGTATTAGCAGCTGCTCCTGCTACTGTATTAGCAGCTGCGCCCGCTACTGTATTAGCAGCTGCGCCTGCTACTGTATTAGCAGCTGCGCCTGCTACTGTATTAGCAGCTGCACCCGCTACTGTATTAGCAGCTGCTCCTGCTACTGTATTAGCAGCTGCTCCTGCTACTGTATTAGCAGCTGCACCTGCTACTGTATTAGCAGCTGCACCTGCTACTGTATTAGCAGCTGCACCCGCTACTGTATTAGCAGCTGCTCCTGCTACTGTATTAGCAGCTGCACCCATTACTGTATTAGCAGCTGCACCCGCTACTGTATTAGCAGCTGCACCCGCTACTGTATTAGCAGCTGCACCCGCTACTGTATTAGCAGCTGCACCTGCTACTGTATTAGCAGCTGCACCCGCTACTGTATTAGCAGCTGCTCCTGCTACTGTATTAGCAGCTGCTCCTGCTACTGTATTAGCAGCTGCACCTGCTACTGTATTAGCAGCTGCACCTGCTACTGTATTAGCAGCTGCGCCTGCTACTGTATTAGCAGCTGCACCCGCTACTGTATTAGCAGCTGCACCCGCTACTGTATTAGCAGCTGTACCTGCTACTGTATTAGCAGCTGCACCCGCTACTGTATTAGCAGCTACACCCGCTACTGTATTAGCAGCTGCACCCGCTACTGTATTAGCAGGTACAGCTGCTAATACAGTAGCAGGTACACCTGCTACTGTATTAGCAGCTGCGCCTGCTACTGTATTAGCAGCTGCACCCGCTACTGTATTAGCAGCTGCTCCTGCTACTGTATTAGCAGCTGCTCCTGCTACTGTATTAGCAGCTGCACCTGCTACTGTATTAGCAGCTGCGCCCGCTACTGTATTAGCAGCTGCACCCGCTACTGTATTAGCAGCTGCACCCGCTACTGTATTAGCAGCTGCACCTGCTACTGTATTAGCAGCTGCACCCGCTACTGTATTAGCAGCTGCTCCTGCTACTGTATTAGCAGCTGCTCCTGCTACTGTATTAGCAGCTGCACCTGCTACTGTATTAGCAGCTGCACCTGCTACTGTATTAGCAGCTGCGCCTGCTACTGTATTAGCAGCTGCGCCTGCTACTGTATTAGCAGCTGCACCCGCTACTGTATTAGCAGCTGTACCTGCTACTGTATTAGCAGCTGCACCCGCTACTGTATTAGCAGCTACACCCGCTACTGTATTAGCAGCTGCACCCGCTACTGTATTAGCAGGTACAGCTGCTAATACAGTAGCAGGTACACCTGCTACTGTATTAGCAGCTGTACCTGCTACTGTATTAGCAGCTGCACCTGCTACTGTATTAGCAGCTGCACCCGCTACTGTATTAGCAGCTACACCCGCTACTGTATTAGCAGCTGCGCCCGCTACTGTATTAGCAGCTGCACCCGCTACTGTATTAGCAGCTGCGCCCGCTACTGTATTAGCAGCTGCACCCGCTACTGTATTAGCAGCTGCACCCGCTACTGTATTAGCAGCTGCGCCCGCTGCTGTATTAGCAGCTGCGCCCGCTACTGTATTAGCAGCTGCATCTGCTGCTGTATTAGCAGCTGCACCCGCTACTGTATTAGCAGCTGCATCTGCTGCTGTATTAGCAGCTGCATCTGCTGCTGTATTAGCAGCTGCATCTGCTACTGTATTAGCAGCTGCATCTGCTACTGTATTAGCAGCTGCATCTGCTACTGTATTAGCAGCTGCACCTGCTACTGTATTAGCAGCTGCATCTGCTACTGTATTAGCAGCTGTACCCGCTACTGTATTAGCAGCTGCACCCGCTACTGTATTAGCAGCTGTACCCGCTACTGTATTAGCAGCTGCTCCTGCTACTGTATTAGCAGCTGCACCTGCTACTGTATTAGCAGCTGCACCCGCTACTGTATTAGCAGCTGTACCCGCTACTGTATTAGCAGCTGCACCTGCTACTGGATTAGCAGCTGTACCCGCTACTGTATTAGCAGCTGCGCCCGCTACTGTATTAGCAGCTGCGCCCGCTACTGTATTAGCAGCTGTACCCGCTACTGTATTAGCAGCTGCACCCGCTACTGTAGTAGCAGCTGCGCCCGCTACTGTATTAGCAGCTGCACCCGCTACTGTAGTAGCAGCTGCGCCCGCTACTGTATTAGCAGCTGCACCCGCTACTGTATTAGCAGCTGCATCTGCTACTGTATTAGCAGCTGCATCTGCTACTGTATTAGCAGCTGCACCTGCTACTGTATTAGCAGCTGCATCTGCTACTGTATTAGCAGCTGTACCCGCTACTGTATTAGCAGCTGCACCCGCTACTGTATTAGCAGCTGTACCCGCTACTGTATTAGCAGCTGCTCCTGCTACTGTATTAGCAGCTGCACCTGCTACTGTATTAGCAGCTGCACCCGCTACTGTATTAGCAGCTGTACCCGCTACTGTATTAGCAGCTGCACCTGCTACTGTATTAGCAGCTGTACCCGCTACTGTATTAGCAGCTGCGCCCGCTACTGTATTAGCAGCTGCGCCCGCTACTGTATTAGCAGCTGTACCCGCTACTGTATTAGCAGCTGCACCCGCTACTGTAGTAGCAGCTGCGCCCGCTACTGTATTAGCAGCTGCACCCGCTACTGTATTAGCAGCTGCACCCGCTACTGTTTTAGCAGCTGCACCCGCTACTGTATTAGCAGCTGCACCCGCTACTGTTTTAGCAGCTGCACCCGCTACTGTATTAGCAGCTGCACCCGCTACTGTATTAGCAGCTGCACCCGCTACTGTATTAGCAGCTGCACCCGCTACTGTATTAGCAGCTGCGCCCGCTACTGTATTAGCAGCTGCACCCGCTACTGTATTAGCAGCTGCACCCGCTACTGTATTAGCAGCTGCACCCGCTACTGTATTAGCAGCTGCACCCGCTACTGTTTTAGCAGCTGCACCCGCTACTGTATTAGCAGCTGCACCCGCTACTGTATTAGCAGCTGCGCCCGCTACTGTATTAGCAGCTGCGCCCGCTACTGTATTAGCAGCTGCGCCCGCTACTGTATTAGCAGCTGCACCCGCTACTGTATTAGCAGCTGCGCCCGCTACTGTATTAGCAGCTGCGCCCGCTACTGTATTAGCAGCTGCGCCCGCTACTGTATTAGCAGCTGCGCCCGCTACTGTATTAGCAGCTGCGCCCGCTACTGTATTAGCGGCTGCGCCCGCTACTGTATTAGCAGCTGCGCCCGCTACTGTATTAGCGGCTGCGCCCGCTACTGTATTAGCGGCTGCGCCCGCTACTGTATTAGCAGCTGCACCCGCTACTGTATTAGCAGCTGCACCCGCTACTGTATTAGCAGCTGCACCCGCTACTGTATTAGCAGCTGCACCCGCTACTGTATTAGCAGCTGCACCCGCTACTGTATTAGCAGCTGCACCCGCTACTATATTAGCAGCTGCACCCGCTACTGTATTAGCAGCTGCACCCGCTACTGTATTAGCAGCTGCACCCGCTACTGTATTAGCAGCTGCACCCGCTACTGTATTAGCAGCTGCACCTTCTACTGTATTAGCAGCTGCACCTTCTACTGTATTAGCAGCTGCGCCTGCTACTGTATTAGCAGCTGCACCCGCTACTGTATTAGAAGCTGCATCTGCTACTGTATTAGCAGCTGCATCTGCTACTGTACTAGCAGCTGCACCCGCTACTGTACTAGCAGCTGCACCTGCTACTGTATTAGCAGCTGCTCCTGCTACTGTATTAGCAGCTGCTCCTGCTACTGTATTAGCAGCTGCTCCTGCTACTGTATTAGCGGCTGCACCTGCTACTGTATTAGCGGCTGCACCTGCTACTGTATTAGCGGCTGCACCTGCTACTGTATTAGCGGCTGTACCTGCTACTGTATTAGCGGCTGTACCTGCTACTGTATTAGCGGCTGCTCCTGCTACTGTATTAGCGGCTGCACCCGCTACTGTATTAGCGGCTGCACCCGCTACTGTATTAGCAACTGCACCCGCTACTGTATTAGCAGCTGTACCTGCTACTGTATTAGCAGCTGCACCCGCTACTGTATTAGCAGCTGCACCTGCTACTGTATTAGCAGCTGCACCTGCTACTGTATTAGCGGCTGCACCTGCTACTGTATTAGCAGCTGCATCTGCTACTGTATTAGCGGCTGCACCTGCCACTGTATTAGCGGCTGCTCCTGCTATTGTATTAGCGGCGTCTCCTGCTACTGTATTAGCAGCTGCTCCTGCTACTGTATTAGCGGCTGCACCTGCTACTGTATTAGCAGCTGCTCCTGCTGCTGTATTAGCAGCTGCACCTGCTACTGTATTAGCAGCTGCACCCGCTACTGTATTAGCAGCTGCACCCGCTACTGTATTAGCAGCTGCACCCGCTACTGTATTAGCAGCTGCACCCGCTACTGTATTATCAGCTGCACCCGCTACTGTATTAGCAGCTGCACCTGCTCCTGTATTAGCAGCTGCACCCGCTACTGTATTAGCAGCTGCACCCGCTACTGTATTAGCAGCTGCACCCGCTACTGTATTAGCAGCTGCACCCGCTACTGTATT